ACACTGAGAGGCACACTCCCGCAGAGTCACACTGAGAGGCACACTCCTGCAGAGTCACACTGAGAGGTACACTCCTGCAGAGTCACACTGAGAGGTACACTCCTGCAGAGTTACACTGAGAGACACACTCCCGCAGAGTCACACTGAGAGGCACACTCCTACAGAGTTACACTGAGAGACACACGCCCACCAGGTGGGGCAAATGGAGCACACGCCTGGAGTGGGAAGTCATGGCTGCCCTAAAAGAAGGACACAGTATTGTTGATATCACAAACTGTCTCACCTGGAAAAGGGTAAGGCAGAAAAAGATTGCAAACCTAAGCAACCCAGAGTCACCAAATCCAGAGCAGATTAGGGAAAGAAAAACTTTAAAGGAATGTGGAAAGGGGCAAGGGAAGCAGAATCAGCAGGACATGTTTTTTTTTTCTTTTTTTTCCTGATGTTCTTTTAGCAGAAATTCAAGATTCTCATTTGTCTCCTGTGTCAGTTACTCGGTGGCATTTCTGATAGTGAAACTGTAGGGTTTGCTCACAGGTAGAGGAAACCGCAGCGCCCGCTCCTCTGAACCCCTAAATAAAGGCCTGATTCCCTGGCCTGTGGGCAAGTCAAGCTTGACTTCAGATAAGGCCATTGTATTTTCATGTCTTTGTGTGTGTAGGGTCCTCTTCAACTTGCACAGAGACATGGAGTTGACATCCTGCATGCCAAAGTCTGAGCACCTGGGGTGGGCATCCTGTGTGCTGAAGTCCTTGAGAATGGAATTGTTTACTCCCCCCCCCCCCCCCGCCCATTTCAGCTCTGTGCTGCTTTGCTATTTTATGAGACAGAGTCATTCTGTAGCCCAAGTTGTCCTAGAATTCAATATGTAACTCAGGCTTGCCTGGAACTCCTGGTAGTTCCCCTGCCTCAGTCTCCTAGGATTATAGTGGTTGATAACAGGTATAAACCACTTCCAAACCTCTAGCTTGTATGAGTAATCTCAATAGTGAATTGACAGGAATATTTGTCAGCTGGTATTTTAATTTTTTTTGTCCTTTTAACCTGATGCAGAAATGGGTTGTGGATTAGTCGAATTCTAGAAGACACAAATTTTGTGTCTGTTTCCAGAATCCCTTTATTCAGTTGTCATTCTGGTGCTTGGACCATGGCAGTATAGGAGACAAATACATAATTTTAATAGGTACCAGATTTTTCTGCTTGCAAAGGATAAAACAATAATGTGTTCTCACCTCCTTCAAAATAAGCCAGAGAATGTACTCGTTTCTAACCATTTATCAGACATACACGTTGTTTGTTTCTTTGTTTGTTTGCTTGTTTGGCTGTAAGTACTTAAAGCTGAAAAATTCCTTTCAGTTACATGTAAGACCTGGGGATCCTGAAACTGAATGGTTTAGGATCTCACATTCTCTGGGCCATCTTGGGCTCTAAATGTCCATTGTTGAAACACTTGACCCCCATGGATGAGAAGGATCAAAGATACAAGCGTAATTCCCCACTCCCGGGGTGGTGCGGAGTCCCTTCTAGACTGACAATGGTGCCCACTCTAGGAAGGGACTCTCAAGAGGCCTCGGCTGACTCCCAAGTCCGTTGTGAATAGAGAATTAATTTCCAGCCAGCGCCCTGTGAGGCTCCCTGCGAACCCCGTGAAGAAGCCTGCTTAGCATCCTTAAACTCTAACCTTTTCAAAATTCTTCTTGGCCCCCTGAAGACAGTGGGCCAGCTGGCCTGGCTTTCCCAAATTGCATCACCCCAGGCCACTGAGGAAGCCCTCAGGAGTCGGAGGCCTGATGGTAAACAAAGCTAAGGGGGAGGGGAGGCCACCCCAGCTCATCTGAACCAACCCTGTTGCCCACTGGCTCTTCCCTGCTGCAGCTGGATCAGGGAGTGAAGTGCAAAGCCTCTGAGATGTGGTACCCAGACCTCCAAATGAGGCAGGGACATTTGCTCTTGCTTCTGGTCCTCATTCTACCCACAACCCACCCCCAAGGGGCAGCACTGCCAGCGGAGAGAAGATATCCGATGGATAGGTGGAATTTTCTTTGCTGCCTGAGCTGCAGAAACCTACAAGCGTACCCCAAATACATGCATACTTATTTGCATGGTACCTTTTCCAAGTCACATATTTGCAGCTATCAATCAGGAGACTTGCAGAGGGCCCTGCTATGGGAGCTGCAGATAAAGACATCGCTGCAGGCTAAGATGGGCATATTGACATCCCATAGTTATATATCAGTGTGATCCCCAGAGGACACTTCTTGCCAGTAAACACCTGGTTTATTGAGGATTTCTGTGTTGGTGGTGGTGTTTTTCTTCACGCTTAAGAGTGTCTATTATCCCCTTCATAAATCCTGCTTCCTTTTCTTATTTTAGAATCCAAATGTGGTGAGGAAAATCTATTGTAATTACCAGCATTTACCTCCCTGTCATTAACTTGTAGCTCTCCTTGCTTTCTCTGTATATGCAGGGTCTCTATGCTTCCAGGCTCCTTTCCTGGCTCTGCCCAGAGGAGCAGTTGCTGGGTTAAAGCACAAGGGCTCTTCTAAGAGGACTCTACCTAGAGGCAGCAGGAGACTGGGACTGTAATCCTCTTAGTGCCCCTGCTGTTACTCCAGCTTGCAGCAGGCTGTGAATGTGTGTCACGGTTCATCAGGACACATCCCCAGAAAGCAAACCCAAGAGCTTAGGAGAGAAACACAAGGCCATCCCCACCACAAAGGCACCAGAAGCCTTCCAAATGTCAATACACTGCTGCATTTTTCCAAACTCGCCGTCCAAGCGGCCTTTAACATCCTCAACGCCCCACTGTGATCCACCGGCTAAAAACCTCAATTGTTAATTGTCCCGCCACTACAGAGCAGCCCGTTTTAATACAGTCAGGACGTGAATGAGGCTTGGGCTCCCCTTTGCCCCTCCCCTGAGGCACCTTGGATCTCTGAGGGAGAAGGGGCACTTAGCTGGCTGGGGTACAATAGGGGTTAGTGTTGAGGTCAGCAATAAATAAGGGATAACATTGTTTTCCCTGCTGGCAACCAGCAAGCCTTCCTTAAGGATTGAAATAACTTACATTTCTGGAGTGAGCAGCTGAGTAATTGAAAGAAGACTCTGTTCTTTCTCTCTCTTTCACTTTCTCTCTCCCTCTATCTCTTAGCCTCCAGTCCCTCAATGGCTGGTCTCATTCTGATATACAAAGCAATCAGCCTCAGCTCCCTAATTTCTGTTTAAAAGGGAGGCTGGCTTGAGGGTTTGAAACATAGATGGGAAGGGTGTGTTGCTCCAAGGGCCACTTGAGCAGAAACAAAAACCTTGTGAGTAGAGGAATATGGACCCAAACATTTAAATAACCCAGAGGCAGAGGAGGCAGCCCAGAGAAGCTGCTCCCTAATGCTACATCTCTTTCCCTCCCCACTCCCTCCCCACTCCCTCCCCACTCCCTCCCTACTCCTCTCTCTGGTGCACAGGCTCTGAAGATTGTTCCAAGAACTTCACAAGCCCCAATGGGACCATTGAATCTCCTGGCTTTCCAGAGAAGTATCCACACAATCTGGACTGCACCTTCACTATCCTGGCCAAACCCAGGATGGAGATCATCCTGCAGTTCCTGACCTTTGACCTGGAGCATGACCCTCTACAAGTGGGAGAAGGAGACTGCAAATATGACTGGCTGGACATTTGGGATGGCATTCCACACGGTGAGTGGGTGCTTCTGCTCAGTTCACTTTCTCCTTTTTAAAAAGTTCAGGATCCTAGTCCAGGGAATGGTAGCACCCAAAGTGGACAGGTCTTCCCACTTCCACAGAGTGGAAACCTTGTGGTTAACTAACCAAGGTAACCCACAGATAAGCACAGAGGGCTGTCTCCGAGGTGATTCCAGAGTTTATCAAGTTGATGATTGATATTAACACTCAGAGGTGACAAAACTCTAGGTGATGTCCCATTCCAACCAAGTTATTGGGATAAAAGTGAATCACTAGTCCAATGCTGTGACCACGTAGAAAGACTTAAAGCCAGGCTGACGACTTGAATGTCCTGCTGTGCAGTCCTGGCAAGTTATTCAGCCTCTCAGTATCTAGATCAGAAACAATCTATCATCACTATAATCAAGAGTTCCATTATTTCATTACTATTAATATAGGCATAGGTGTTGAAAGGCAGTCATTCACAGCCAAGAAGAGCCGATATAGAGTGGGTGAAGACCACACAGAGCCTAGGTGTGATCAGTATTGGAAAGGAAACAGATTGTTCATCTTTGTGGTTGTTCTAAGTGTTTTCTGTTATAAAGGATACTTGGTAGCTATGCAGGAGCAATTTCATCTTGGGAAAAGCATAAGACTAAGGCAGGCAGGTAGGGTCTGGATGCCAGCTCTGCTATTTCCTAGCAGTGTGAACCGGAACCCTGAACTGGGACTCCTGACACCCTGAAACTCAATTTTTTTCCTCTGTAGAGCAGCAATTGCAATGATGCATTCTGGTTCCTCATCATGGATGGGAGAACAGAATGTAGCCAGCTCAGGGAAAGCACTTTTTAATGTTCAGGGAAAATATCGGACGTTATTCTCGAAGCACTCCTTTGGTTTTTATGTCAGTGTATTGGCAGTGAGGTTCGCAATGGGGAGAAGACAGAAAGCATTGAAAACCAGTTTTAGATTTTCATTTCCTCTGTCCCTTTTTTTCCTCCATATCTAGTTGGCCCTCTGATTGGCAAGTACTGCGGGACCAAAACCCCCTCCAAACTCCGCTCGTCCACAGGGGTCCTCTCCCTGACCTTCCACACGGACATGGCAGTGGCCAAGGATGGCTTCTCCGCACGCTACTACTTGGTCCACCAAGAGCCTCCTGAGAGTGAGTTGGCCATGGGAGTCCCTGTCCTGTCTTCCCACTAGAGATGTGAGGGGGCACAAGTGAAGGGCTGACCTCTGTGAAAACAGTAGGCAGGGAGGCCTCAGACTTTGTGGTGGCTACTGAGTTCCATGCCTTCTTTCCCAGCAGAGATGAATGAGGAAGGACAGTGTCCATTGGGTTCTCTTTTCCTTAGGAAAAACAAACAAACAAACAAGTATGTGTTGTTCCCAGGGAAAACTGTAGGCCATCTCAAGCCTGCATCTGCCCATCTCTGGGTGGGAAAGGATCGTTAGGATGATGGTGGAATGGTGCTTGCGGGGGCTAACCCTCTTCAGACTGCACCAGTCCTTTCGTCTCCAGACCTCAAAAGCATCAAGACCATCATGGCAAAACAGCCATATGTATCTTGACAATCGTCCTGTAGCTCTCAGTAGAGATTCCCTGGCTACACAAGGCAACCCCTTGGACTTCCACTTCACACATGCAAGAAATACAGCTTTGAGGAACTTTTACTGAGTGCTGGGCACGGTGCATTAGCATTATAAAATTCTGCTGAGGGCCTAGCTGTTTGGAACCTGCCACCTAAACCATCCTGAGGCCCATTTTCAGACTATCCACTTCTTGGCCCTACACTTAAGCTGCAGTGCACAGTCAGGGCTGCTTAGAGATCCAAATGGTCTCCTGGAGGACAAAGAGAAGCACTCTGAGATGACGAGACTGAGAAACCCCCATCTCTGCCGTGGACAGCTTATGGCCTATGTTAACTGCCGATGCAGCAGCCTGGCCTGCCTGAGAACGCGCAGGCTGTGCTCTGCCCTAGTCTTGGTTTCTTCATCAGAGGTCCAGAGGCTGCATGAGAAAGAGTGCAGCAAGCTGTAGCAGGTTCGGCAAACGGCCAGTGCAGTCTCAGAAAAATCTGATACCTCAGAAAAGTGTCCACGCCTGGGCAAGCACTGATCAGTGTCCACGGCATCCAGGTGAAGGACGGCAATTTTGCTGATGGCATAAGACCAGAATCAGAGTCTCATAGGTCTGGTAGCCCAGACAGGTGCTGCAGAGGAACACAATGGGGCTTGTATGTGCTCACAGAGAAGTTTCCTAAAGACGGGTGTTTATACTTTGTAGAGTCTGTCTTCTATGCCAGAAATTAGAAAACACTTGGTTGAAAGAGAAAGTGCCTCGGGGTGTGTGCAGGCTTCCCACGATGGCTGAGCCCACCCAAATTGTCCTGTTCACCTGTATCCCGTGGCTGGTGGCTTCCCACGATGGCTGAGCCCACCCAAATTGTCCTGTTCACCTGTATCCCGTGGCTGGTGGCTTCCCACGATGGCTGAGCCCACCCAAATTGTCCTGTTCCCCTGTATCCCGTGGCTGGTGCATCTGGCACCTGAGAGCTTCCGTAGCCTGCAGCACTTGCGTTTGAGATGGTATTTTTAATTTATATGATGATTCTTATTTATCTATCGCCTAATTTCTTTTAGGTCCAATTTAGTTCCTTGAAGACCCAGAGGGGTTGTTAACTATGTGACTTAGTGTAGTTGTTTTTCAAATGTGAGCATGTAATTAGATTCAGGATGAGGGAGTGCCTGCAAGGACTTGTCCCTAGAAGGAGACCGTGTCTGGGGGCCATGGGAGCAGAGACAGCATCTGAGGTTAAGATACCTAACTCTGCCCTTGACCCATCTCCACTCCCCAGACTTTCAGTGCAATGTTCCTCTGGGAATGGAGTCCGGACGGATCGCTAACGAGCAAATCAGTGCCTCATCCACTTTCTCCGACGGAAGGTGGACTCCTCAGCAGAGCCGGCTCCATGGTGATGACAATGGCTGGACACCCAATTTGGATTCCAACAAGGAGTATCTCCAGGTGCTTACCCAGATACTGGTGTGTGTGTGTGTGTGTTGTGGGTGAGAGAGAATGTGATGTGTGGGATGGTGGGACAGTGGTGTGGCCCCCTCAGCTAGAGTCAAAAGAGAATGCTAAAACATAAACACAGAATGCATGAGAATTGCATCCATCCATCCATCTGTTCATTCATCTGTCCCAAAGGCCCTGTGCTATGCCAAGCATTGTGCTGTGTGCTGGGGTGTGAGTAAGAAGACCACTGCACTCGCCCTTGTGTGAATTAGTGGGCCTGAGGAGAGTTGTTTGGCCATGATACCGCTTACCCTATCAGTATAAAAGGAATGTTCTAGAAATAGTTCCAGATCTTCCTCATTCTTGGCACAGGAAGGCATCAGAGATGTGGGAAGAGCGTTTTCCTAAAGGCAGGTTTGTTGGGCGCTAGCTGAATATGGCAACTTCTTCTGATCTTTGCTATCTGGAGGGAGCCTGCCAGGGAGGTTTTACACATAGCTATCAGAGAACACATGGGAAAATGTCACTATGGAGAATGAGAACTCGCTCCCCAGATGCTCGGCAGCGTCTTTTCAGACTATTGTTTGCTGTCTTCCTGAGAAAGTCTTGCAGCTCATGTTGAGTAATCTTCCTGCCCTGCACACGGGTTCAGCTCTGATCCCCTGGGAAGAAGTAAACAGGGGGAGAACAAACTGCCAGTTCTACACCAGAGCAACGTCTGCATTTATGACACACAGAGACAGCCTTGTGACCCAGGGACAAGCCTGTCCCAGCTCTGCTCTAAGACAGATACTGCAGTGCAGACAGCAGGGAAGGGAGAAAGAGCACTTAGAAACTCCAGGGGGCCACGGGGCTCTAACAACACAACTCTCAGGTCATTTGTCACTGTCTCTTCCTCTGCCTCTCAAAAAAATCCTTTCATCTTGCAAAGCTTCTAGCAAGTTCTTCATTGTTACAGTCTATATACTATACTCCTGTTTTCACCCCTTTAATAGTCTAGTTTTTCAGTATAGCAATCTACCTTTTCTTGTGTACAAAGAAGTTCCTGTGCATGTCTCTTGAATGTTTCATGATGCCATGCACACATTGAGTAGCCAGTAAGTGCTTACTAAATTGGCTTTCATCAGTTCACAAACACTAACGCACATAGAGACTGCCATTAAGAAAGGCCAAAGACCATACTGACAACATCCAGTAATTTCCAAGTGGTTTTGGCATTGTCAGAGGGGAACTACCTCCTCATAGGGTAAAAGATCAAGACTTGGTGCATAAGCCTAGTTAGTTGGGCAGACTCTGCACGCCCTTTGATCCCTTGGTGACCTGAGTGATTATAGATGGAGTGTGGGAATAAAGGGAGAGAAGACGGCTATGGATTACCACTTCTAGAGAATTACAGTAGACTGCATTGGAGTATGCTGTGGGACAATGGTCTTTTATCCTGTCACTTGTGTTATTTTTAATAAAACATTGATTGGCCAGTAGCTAGGTAGGAAGTATAGGCGGGATGACCAGGTAGGAAGTAGAGGCAGGACAAGGAGAATTCTGGGAAGAGGGAAGTTTAAATCTGCAGTTGTGACGCAGCCACAGCGGACACAAGATGTGACTGCCTCGCCGAAAAAGGTACCAAGCCAATGGCTAACACAGGCAAGAGTTATGGGCTAATATAAGTTATAAGAATTAATTAATAAGAAGCCTGAGCTACTGGGACAATCAGTTTATAATTAATGTAGACCTCTGTGTGTTTATTTGGGACTAAATGGCTGTGGGACGTGGAGGGACAGAAACCTCTGTCAACAGGAGTAGAGAGTTTTTTGCCATTCAAGGTTCCTATAGGACCCTTTTGCCTTCATGGTCTGAAACAGACTGTAGGTTATTTAATGAAGGGGTCATAAGTCTAAATGTCCACTAGTTAGAAGAAACTGAATATTATCCATTCAGTTTTGCAAGTAGAAGGGAAAAAAAATCAAGTTCTATTTTTCAAGGAAAAATGTCTACCCTGGTAAGAGTCAATTGACATTAATTGTCCTGTGGAAGTACATACTGATGGTTCCAAAAACAGATGAGTTTGTGAGCTTAGCACGACATCCACGACCTATGCAGGAAAGGGACGTGGGTGTGTTTGGGAGGAGTGGGCCCCTTACCTTCTGGCTTCTCTTTCCAGGTGGACCTGCGCTTCCTAACCATGCTCACGGCCATTGCAACACAGGGGGCTATTTCCAGGGAGACCCAGAAAGGGTACTATGTCAAATCGTACAAGCTGGAGGTCAGCACGAATGGGGAGGACTGGATGGTCTACCGGCATGGCAAAAACCACAAGGTAGGTGGGCTTCCCCAAGAGTGGGCCTCCAAGGAGTTTCAGGCTGACTCCGTGAGGAGCCTTGGCTTAGTGAGGCTCAGAGAACTCATGGAGGCAAAGGATACACTGTTCCTGAGATTTCCTTTTTTGTTTTTGTGATTGGAAAACTCCATTTCTCCAGCAGCTTGGTTACTGTTGCATTTTGCACAGCAGAGAGGGAGAGAGGAGGGGGGCCCATAGAATGTTATCTAACTGCAAATGAAGGAGAAAACGCCTCCCCACTAAAGCTTCCCCAGCCTCCCCCCTAAAGCTTCCCCACACCATACAGAACCCGGTGAGCATTTCTGGCCTGAGTCTCTTCCACATGCTGGACTAACAATCACAAAACTGCAAGAACCGGCAGTTCAGGAGTCACTGAGGTCTGAAAATGAAAGGACACAAAGCCCTAAGAGGGAGTCCCCGTGTCCCTGAGAAGAACCAGGACTATAAATAATGAGGAGAAATCCTATTTGTTGGAGTTTGGATCTGAACTGGCAATTGTGATTATCGGGGAAGCATTGAACCCTCCCTGCTGGTGCCTTCAGTGTCTGGAGCTCCCAGGCATGCGGTCCATGTGATCAATATGAAGCTTTTGTTGTACACGGGGATGAGTGTCTGGCACTTGGCACTCTTGAATCACGTGGCGTTCTGTGTCTGCAGCTGGCAAATGAGTTGCATTTGGCATATGGAGGGCTCAGTGGAAATGCTCCGTTTTCACCTAAGTGGGGACAGGAGCCTCTGGACTGGAAGTGAGTTCAAGGTGATCCCTGCAGGCTGGTTGAGTCTCACTTCAGGCAGGTGGGGGAGGCATACTGGGAACTCCCAGAGCCGGCTCACCCTCCCACGGAAGGTAATCAGAAAACACAGGTCTGTTTCTCAGCCTTTGCTGCAGTCCCGCAGGTGCAGGTCTGCAAAGGTATAAAATATCAAGATAAAGCATCTGTGACCAAAAGGGCATCTCTTTGGTCCCTGTCACTGTCCCAAAGCATCATGCTCTCCATCTTACACATACAACTAGAATCCTTGGACCCAGAAAATTTGACCCTATGATGTTGCGATCTCTCACATAGGAAATGTGAGTTTTTAAAGGAGTAGTTTTTGTTGGCTTTTTTAAATCAAAATCGCCATAGTAACATGGCACCATTCATATGAAAGCATGGTTTCTAGACATTTCCGGCTATCTCTCTGACATACAGATTATTTGTGACTACGTACTTCATGTGACTAGTAAAGGAAGTGAAACATTTAGCACTGGGAAGACACCATCTCCTTACCTGTCAGCTAGGTCTGTAGCTTGCAGAGGCTGGGTACCAGTCAGAAGCCACTGAGTCAGCCCTGGGGGCCACAGGAACCCAGAGATGAGTCCTCATCTCACCCCATTCCCTTCCTCCTACTTTCTTTCTCTCCACCCACATTTTCAATAAGAAAATGCTAAAACCTGGGATTTCAGCTAGCAGGTGAGGGCCAGCAGCCAGGTAGGAATGGGTCCAGGGGAGAGGCACGAGGCTCCCTGACAGTCTCCTTGGTCAGGTTCAATGACTAAGCAGTGCTGGCCAGAGGGACGCTGTAGCATAAGCTGATTTTAAAAGCACACAGATGGACTGGGATGCTATTTAAAACACCATTTGTAAGAAATCTGCTTTTGGAAATACCTTAGCACTGCACATTTTGATAGGACGCCATCCTCCTGGCTTTATCCTGGCTATTCAGTTTTGCAGGGAAGATATTCCTGAGTCTGAACTGAGCTCTCTAGTTCTTCAGACTCATCCTTTTCAGTTTTCCAGGTTGAATACATTCTCGCCATCTTCTGCATCCTCCTCCCACCTTTGGCCAAATGTTTCTTCCCAGTAGGCAGTGGCTTGAGGGTAACTTGAGGGTCTTGATTTCGGTTTTGCGTTAAAGGATCAGTTTTGCCCACATAAAAGGAGCTGGGACAGAGAAAAAGCCCTTTCTCTTTCCATTAGAAACACATTCTCCTGGTACTTAAAATGAGGAAGGAAATGGAAAGCCTGCCAATTAGGCTCACCTCATTGTGCCTGTGGTGGGAGGCCAAGAGGCCTTCCCCTCCTCTTCCCCCCGGCAAGGATGCTCTGAGCGACCTCTGCGTTAGCAGGTCTCCCCCAGATAGCTGTGTTTACTGTGCAGTTCCCTGGGCTGCTGGGGTTGGAATAGTGGAGTGAACCATGCCAAATAGATTTGTCAAGTCTGCCATAGTTTGATTTGATGCCATGACAGGGAGGCAGGAGGAAGGAGGGGCCTGGAGAGCAGTGAGGCTGTAGGGAGGAGCTCATCCACCGCTGGTATTACCACCGAGTTTCTCTTTGTGGTTTCTGGATGCTGGGCACTGTGCCAAGCTCTCTGGTGTTCTGTGGTGGGCTTGAAAGTACCATTCAGACAGCAGGACTTAACGAAAAAGCAGAACAGGCTGCAGCGAGCTGGCTTGAGAGTGCAGAGCTAGGGCTGGAAAACACCTCCCTTCTCTGTGCATAGGAAGTAGAGAGGGCACAAATTTGGAAACTCAGTTTCAGTTCCCTGACCACTGTCAACACCAATGCAGCATATCAAAGACCAGGGAACTGGAGAAAGCAGAGAAAAACAAGATTAATGAGCACTCAAGTTGGTGGCGGAAGGCTGTGCTATGTCACTGTGGTTTTCGCCCTGCCTGGGCAAGGCAGGGGCTAAGCCTGTGAGTGCCTTTCTTCTTTCTGCCGGGAGGTGAAGAAGACTAAAGAACTCTTCTCCAGCCTTCCTAGTCGGCGAGCAGCCTCTTTTCCGTCTCTTTATGCTCAACAGGTATTCACGAGACTCCCCATGAAATGTCTGGTCCACGATGCTGGTGGCTCATGAATTTTCCCTGGCAGAATGCAGCCTGCTTACACAGACCAAATGCACAGCACACCCCGGTCCTCACCCTGCTCCACATGCCATAAGTATGGAACCCATGACTTTTATATAGGCAGGCCTTCCTTATGCATATTTATGGTGCAACCACAAAGCAGAGAGCCCATAACCAACCAATGTGCTCCTTCAGATTATACAAATTACTTCACATGCGTCCCTTCAGAAACCACAGCAGAAACTACTGCCTTTGGTTTCCCTAGCTGTGTGAGTAGCATCCCAGATACAGGAACAGAGCTGTCAATAGAGTGGTAAGAAATTTCATGTGTCCACGTGCAAGTGTGTGTAATTACAGGTGCAATTTCGTGCATACACACCAAGAAAGGTGCACGGAGAACAACGGGAACAGCTCAAAGGCCCCAATGCTTGCTCATCGTCCTTCCCTCCTCTCGGACTCTGAACCCATAAATCTACCCGAAGGCTAAGTCTATGGAATGGAGGCTATACCTGAGGGATGAAGTCATGACTGTTCTTGGGACACTGGGACAAAGACCATTGCCACCTTTAGTTGCCCTTTGTTTTGCCAGTGTAGGCAGCTCATATTGGTATAGTTTTGGTTACCTTCCCCTTCTTATGTATGCTCGGCAGCTTTTTTCTATTTGGAGGTGGGGAACCAACACAAAAGAGATGTCCTGATCCCTGATGTCCAGGTTTGAAGATAGAAAAGATAAGGTAGAATAAGCCTTGGGCCTGCGGTTCTGCAGAATTACCCAGTAATAAGTGCAGAGATGCGCCAAACTCACATTAATGCAAGGGCAAATGCTAGGAGGGTCTGCAAACCCTCAGGCACCGACTTATTGCTCAGAAGTTCATGACATTTCCCAGGTGAAATTGTAGCTCTGAGCCTAAGCAGCTTGCCCCAGGGACAGGAGGATCTCGGAGTCCCCAGGAAAGGCAGTCCTGGTCACCAGGCTTCGGCGTGGAAGCAGATGCTCTCGCGGTCTGTCCCAGGCCTTGTTCTTGCCTCCCATCCATTCCTGGCAGCCAGGAGGAGTCCCTGTTGACTAACAGGGTCTAAAAGTGGTCCATGCAGTTCAGGATTCAAAGCTAGGCATTGTGTGGGGAATTGGGGCTCCATCACAGGGTCCTGAAGATGGAGTTTAAAGAAGTTGCTATTTATTTGATTTGGCCACTTCCCTTCAAAACAAGTGCGCCTGCTTCTAAACTCTTCTGTCCTGTATTATTTTCTTAATGAAAACAAATCATTTTGTACATCAGAGACTTGGAAAGGAGAGTGTTAGAAGGTCACACCCCAAGCTCAGGGCATCTGCCGTGGATCTCTGAGGTGGTGGGCGGTGGGGCCTTGGCTATTCCCTTCCCAGCTCTGTCATAGTGTTCACAGCCGCCCCATGCAGTGGCAGCAGCACTGGCATCGCAGCTCCTGCAGGCCGAGCACCTGGCCATCTGCAGAGGGAAGGTGTGCCACAGATGCAATCAACGGGTCAGAACACAGAGCTCCCTTGAGCAAGCTGTCAATTTAAAATGTAACAGATTCCCGTGGGATATAGATCTGCCTCTTAAAACACAGACCGGAAGGGCTGCGAGAAGTCATCCAGGCCTTGCACTTGAGCTGCCTCAAATAAATGTCTCCTCCCAGCTTCATTCTTTATCGGGAGTGTAATTATTTCCCCCCAATTAATAATTTTGAGGATTTTTTTTAAAGTCTCTTCATGAATACTTGTTTTTACTCCTTTTGTGGTTTGTCTTCTTGATGCTGTTCTTATATAAAGACAAGCGTGTGACTCAAACCTCCAGCCTCCAGAAACCGTGGATGTGAGTGTGTGATCTAAGCCCGGTAGGAGTGCGTGCTCTGAAGAGGCAGATGCCCTCTGAGTTCAGGTCCCCAGTTTGTGCGTCCCTCTCCATTACGACTGAGAGGAGTCCAGTGTGCTTGGTAATTCAGTTTGTCCTTTATCCATTTGTCGTGGGATGAGCTCAGACCTTTAGCCTCTCTACTTAGAAAGCTCAAGGGAAAATTTCATTATACATGCGCTTGAATGGTCCTCTGTCAGGCTGCTGCTAGCCAGCTTCATCCAGGTCCCCTGGGTGCTGACCTGTCTCAGAGCTGAGGCCGCCTCCCAGGC